GATTTTTTTGCACCCTCAGATTCCAGATTTTCAAATAGTTGTATCTCGTCCAAATATTGTCCGATCCTAACAAACCATACATCAATGGAAAGCTGATTTATTCAGCTTTCAGAGGATTTGAATTCAGAAAAATTGACCCTTATGACTGGTTTTGTGGTCCCGGGTCACATATGTCTGTTTACTGGTTAAAGCCTTAAGTGCGGAATCCATAATAATAGGATAACGTGAAAATTTGTGAAGTCAAAGAAATCATAATACTAATAAGAAATGACCCAAAATATAATTGTTAAAATTAAACACTTGTGACAAATTCACGAACACAAGAAATACATAAAATTTGCAATTATGTGAAGATTTCTCGTAAAGAGCTGTAAATTAAAAATCAAATTCTGCTAAGGGGTAATAGTGCAAGATGATAGTGGAAGTTTTGAAAAAAAAAAAAGTTATTATTTACAACAGGATCTGCATTTGCATGGGTTTAAATAAAATATGTTGGTTATAATAGACAATTAAAAACCACTCCTTTCCTTGTAAAAAAATAAATAAATTAAAAAAATAACAAATTTGCGACAGCTGAAAGTCAAAAATATGTTCTCTCTCGAATTTGCAGTGCGTATTTCCTTGTTGGGCTCTGGCAGTCGGAGGCCCATAATGTTAATAATTTATTACTAATCAGAAAACAGTCACTTCTGAGCGTCTGTCAACAAAGGAACAAGTTTCTGCGCACAGAAAGGTGCTCCAGATCTACTATCTGGAGCTAGTTACCCACACTAACCAGTCAAACCTCAATCCATCAGGACTGATGAGAGAATGTTGTTGTGTGAAGAGCTATTGAGTATTTGGATTTAGTTTTGACTGAAATATGGTAGAAGAGCTTTCATCTGTTTGGTGAAATGCTGATGATGCTAGTGATTTTAGAAGTCTAACAACAGCTTTGTAATAAATGACTAAAGAAACCATAAGTCTGGTGGGAATCCGTCTTCAGTCCTGCCCTCTAGTGGACACAAACACACGGCTCTTTGGTAGGTCTTGCTTTTAATTTGCATGCTTTTGCATGTTTTGATACCTTGTTATTATATCAGAGAAATCCTTTGTGTTTCATTGTAACAATAAGTGTCAAATCCAAGCGTCTCATTCTTTTAATACGTAGTAATATTTCTACACTGGGCCTAATAACTAAACTATAAAAACAGTAAATAAATAAATAGAGCATTACTTTTATGAAACAAAAACAATGATTATTTAAAGTAAATAATAATAATTTATTTCATTTAAATGTAATTCGTTTGTATTCCGTCTGTACAAGCAGTAGTCTAAGGTGTGACTAATATAAATACCAATCAAAATACAGTTTTCATCAAGATTTAATTACAAATTATGCCAAACCTGAACAAAGACTTAGTCTAAATACATTTTTACTTTGAATTGTGTGTTTGTCTCATTTCTCATGTACAAGTCCGACTGAATAAAGGAAAAGAAATGTAAGACTTGTCTTTTATTATATTCTTCTATATTCTACAATATTCTTTTAATTCACGTTTACATGAAAAAAACATTGAAAGCAACTGTAGTTTTAGAGATTTTGTTTTATATGTTAACAAAGATCATTCATATTATTTTCCCAATACATAATGTTCTAAAGTGCATATAATGCAATGTTACATACTCAACATTCAAAACATAAAGTGAAAAAAACTATATTAACATATATTAAATGCTTTAACATGATATTTTTTCTGCTTTCCCTCAAAATCACATCTTGCATCCCTTTTCAATTCTGTAAAACATGTAAAACCTAAAAAAACAACATTTGTGACAACAATATTCACTCAATAATCTCTCATATTTCCTCCTACATTATGTGCATTCAAAAATCAGCATACTATTGAGGAGGCTTGAAAATCATAATTTTACAGCGATGGAGCTAAAGTATTTATATTAGTCATGTATAGCTATGGTAACACTTTACTTAAAGCCTATATTGCATTATAAAGGTATTCATAATGTACGTTGCAATACATTTTATCTTTTCATAACTGTAGCCCAAGTTAAAATGCATTATAATATTTGAAGGTTTGTTTGTCATGTTTAACACATTAAAATACTTATATATTCATCGTTTCAGCTTTAATGTATTATAACTGTAGCTACAATTATTCATGAGATCATACAGTGCATTATAAGTTTCGTTACAAGGCATAATTAATGCATTGAAACTACTTTTATAATGCATTATAAATAAAGGCTTTAAGTAAAATGTTACTTCATATTATGATTTACATTGCTTTATGGTTCAAGTATGTTTTCTGTGCAGTCAAACTACTGCTTTACACTGCATATATATATGTGTCATATACGTATATATATATATATACATTTTTTTTTTTTTTTTTCTAGTGTAGAATATGTTGTTTTAATCATATAATATAATATTATAAGGGCTCATATAGTGTTTTTTTTTGTTTTTGTTTTTGCATTTTGCATTTTGCATTTTGAAGTGAACTGCCCAATGCCTCAAAACTCATTTTGATTTCTACTTCATTTCAGAATCAGTGTATGAAACCCACATCAGGAATATTACGAGGCCGGAGGAATATCTGCAATATCAAATTACACCTTCACATCAAATTCTGGAATAGGATCAACTTCACACGACACATACAGCAGCTGTAACTTAAGAAATGCCTTCAATGTTAATGGGGAACATTCAGTGAATCGGCAGTGTGTCTGAATATGATATAATGTCCAGTAATCATCATGGTTCCACAGCAGGCTTGGTCCCTGGAAATGAAAAATAAAGTAAATAAATCAAACATCATGTCAGAGGTCCCCAGTTCATGTGACATATATGAAAGTGGACTTACATTAGCTCTAAGGTGGAGGCAGACAAGAGTTTCTGCGCGAGCGGCACATGTTTTTCTGTGAAGAAAACCAAGACACTCTTAAGAAATCCCGTAATTCACAGATTCTGGCAGAACAATGTGAGCGCATTACAGTGAAGTGTAGACAGTACCTTCTGATGCAGGCGGAAGTGAACGGCTGGATCCGCCAGCCAGGGGTGCTTCAGCGCTTCAGTGGCTCCTAACCTCCAGCTACACACACAGAAAGAAAACACATCGGCCATAAACACAAGGTTTAGGTTCCAGTCCTGCCAAGGATGAACTACTGCCACTGCACTATGAGATGGTAATTCTCGAATGGTCGAATATAAATGATGCAACTAACCACGTCTCTTTAATGCATCTATAAATCTCTCGAGTACCTTTTATCCACCACGAGCAGTTTGGAAATGAAATCCTTGGCTTCTTCTGAGACTTCTGAGAATTCATCCTCCTGGAAGTTCCACTGACAGGCCAAAATGTTGTTCAGCGTCTCATTGTCATCGTCGCCGAGGAAGGGTGACAAACCACTCAGCCTGGAAAATACAAGGCATACACAGACAAGACTGTGTAGGATTTATTTGGAACGGATTTTCAATATTGCTAGTAAATTTCACAAATAATTGCAAAGAGATGGCAAGTAACACATTGAATTAAATCAAAAACTGAAATAAAAGTAGAAATAAAAAAACTAATAATAATTAATACTAATAATAATTTTAAAACTAAAATTAACATAAAACAGACAATATAAAAATGTAAGATAAGTTAAAGTATGAATAAATACTGTAGCATATAAACACTGAAAAAAGTCAATTTTTTTTTTTTTTTAAGATTGGTTAATTGCTATTTTCTTTGTAATTATTTGTTCCATTTACTAGCGCTTTCTAAGTGCAAGATTTACTTTGAAAAAAAATGCACTCAGAAGCTGCTAGGAAATGGAACAAATAATTACAAAGAAATGGCAAGTAAAACACTGAATTATCTCAAAAACTGAAATAAAAATATAAATATTAATAAAAACCTAATAAAATGACAAAAGCACAAAACAAAATTACTAAAACTTAAACTAAAATTAACATGGAAATAAAAATATGAAAATAAAAACTAAATCTAAATATTAATACATATTATAATAGTATATAAATACTGTACACAATGGTGAACACTGTAAAAATTGATCTTTCAAAGTTGTAAATAAAGATAATTGGAGTACATTTTGCAAGAAAATACTATTTCGGTCTTTCTACATTAAAATGTCATGTTTAAGGCAATGTGTTACTTGATGTTTTCTTTGTAATTACTTGTGAAATTTACTAGCAATTTCTAAGTGAACAAATAAATAAATACAAAATCAGTGCAGAATTGACTTTGAAACAATTTTCACTCAGAAATTGATAGTAAGTTTTACAAATAATTGCAAAGAAATGGCAAGCAACACACTGAATTAAATCAAAAGCTGAAATAAAAATATTACAAATGATTAAAAGTATAAACCCAAAATATATAAACAAAACCCAATAAAAACGACAAAAGCACAAACAAAATTGCTAAATCATTAAAACTAAAATTAAGATGAAAACTGAAAATATAAAAAATATGAAAGCTAAGTCAAAATATTAATAAATACTATAATAGTATATAAACATTGAAAAAAAATTATGTAGGATATACTTTGAAACTATTTTCACTCAAATAGCTAATTACAAAGAAATGCCAAATAACACTGAATTGAATGTGAAAATTAGAAAGACTGGAATAGTATTTTCTTGTAAAACACTCCTATAATGTTTTATTTATAGCTTAAAAAAAAATAAAAAATAAATAAAGTACAGTGTACATCAAAAAAGTCAGACGTTATTGTTAAATGCCGTATTGTTACATGCTGATTTTAGTTCAGCTAGAACATTTTCCCGTGTTGGTGTGACTCACAGCATGTACGTGATCACGCCCAGACTCCACATGTCTGTGTTGAACGACACAAAATCATAGTTGACCACCTCAGGAGAGAGAAACTCCGGCGTCCCGAAATTCACCCGCAACTTCTCTCTGGGCTGATACCTGAAGAGAACGAACGTCTCTTAACTCAGACGCTTTCTTCTCAATTAACAAAGACATCAGTGCAGTGAGCAGTGTTGGGGGTAACGCATTACAAGTAACACGAGTTACGTAGATTACTTTTTTCAAGTAACTAGTAAAGTAACGCATTACTTTTGAATTTACAAGAGAATATCTGAGTTACTTTTTCAAATAAGTAACGCAAGGTACTTTTTTCCCCCCTAATTTATTGACTGACAGCTCTGGTGTTGCCATGGTGACAGAAATCAGAAGATGTTACTGTAGTTCTAATATAAATATGAATATACATTAATTCATCTCACTCACAAAAAGAAAAAAAAAACACACAAGTTCAGTATTCCTCAAAATGAATAAAAATAACGCAACTCAGAAAATGACGCGAACCTGCAATAATTAAATGTTAAACAACACTCTGCTGACACACAGAATGTTCTCTGGCTGCAGGCCACAAGGAACAACAAGGGTTATGAAGGTTACTGTGGTTATGTGCTTTAAAACTAGAGGAATGTCGGACGTTTTTCTCCTTTGAGGGCCAATGATTTAAGTGTTTTTATTGCTGCATCACACTGGATCTCTGCTTGTACCTTTAGGTCCAGATGGAGGATGTACATTTTGTGCATGTAACGCAAGCCTTCACAGATGTGCCTGATGAACATCACTGTGTCGAGCTCCTTCAACTTATAATTCTCATCGATGATTCTGTCGAAGAGTTCACCTCCATCAACACTGTTCAGAGAGATCAGCACAGAATCATTTGAATTAACTTTACAATCCTTACTTGTAGTTACAAGCTATTCATCATCAGAAGTATTAAGCTACTCAGTTTTTATTAAAAAAACAAAAAAAACAATGCACATACTATTCAAGTACAAGGATAACGTCGTTCCTGGACTCGTAGGCGGCGTAGAGCTGGATCAGGTTGGCGTGGTCGAGCTGGTTCATAACCTGAATCTCATTCTTCACCACCTCCTTTCAGATAAAGCACATTAAGACTTTATTTTACAACTGAGGGCTATGTGTAATCGACTGAGCTTGTGAAATACAATTTATACACCAACAAATTTGTGTAGGAATTACTTTAAAACAATATTCACTCAGAAATCGCTAGTAAATTTCACAAATAATTACAAAGAAATACAATACAAAATGTCTAAAACGTAACTTAAGAATTAACATGAAAACATAAAATATAAAAATAAAAGCTATGTGCAAACTTAAAATCAAATTATCTTTACATGTGAAAAAATGCAGATTTTTTTTTTTTTGGTACCTTTTCCTTTTGACTCCTAGCTTTGATTATCTTGGCAGCCAAAGTAAGTCCAGAGGAATTTTCAATGCATTTATGCACCTGACCGAATCGACCTCTGAAAGGAGATCAAAGCAGTCATCAGTGACTGTTAAGACACCTAGAAAAATCTGTTTTGAGAATCACATTTATCCCCCACACAATAAAAAAATATATTTGTATTCGTAAGCCACACAAAACAGTAGGTATTTTATTGCATCAGATAACAAAATGTCAAACCAAGTGTCACTTACTTTAAATAAAGACAGCACAAACACACTTTTAAAGCAAAACTTTCAAAAAAGGGTTTTAAATATTAAGAAAGAAAGAAAGAAAGAAAGTGTTCAAAACAAACACACTTTTTAACATTGGAGTAGCAGTGGAACCTGCTGATTAAAAGTTAAATGCTGATTAAAATCAAGCAAAAATGAAGAAGAAAAGTGTCTAGTTTAGACCTTCTACTGACTATAAGTAGCTTTTTCAAGTACGTCAACTTATTCTACTAACCCAAACCTAACAGTCTACTAATACTCTAATGACCGCTAGTTGACATGTAGTTGCAAAGTACTTATATTTCGTAGAATGTCTAAAGTGGACTATGGAAATAAAGTGTAACCAAGTGGAAAGTGAACACTAGTTCTGAGAAAAGATCCTGCAGCATTTGTGTGCAGATATAGACACTGATATTTTGTTATCTGCGATGACATTCACACATGTCTAAGTGTGGCTTAAGTGTCCAAATACTTTTTTCGGAGCCACTGTATATGCAAAACGAAATTTTAAAAGACTTCGAGGCGCAGAGCAGGAAGGACATTAGGGACTCATATTTTTCTGATACTATTGCATTAACAACAAGAAGAACATTCCCTTTGAAGAGATGGATTAACACCTAGTGATTAGTTTCCAGCTGGCGCGGAGGTACAGTTTCACATACCCCGAAATCTCAATGTAAAAATAACTGGCTTGACTCTGAAGTTATGAATCGGGTGAGCGGAGACGGACTGTACGGTTATGCAATTAGCCTTTGAGGGGATTAGCAGAAATTGCACCGTCTCTAAAACATTCTGTTCTCAGCAATCGGTTCCAAAATGCAAGAAAATACTTCCACAGACCCTCCGAGAACCTCCTGTCGGTTGATAGTGTAGAAGTTGTTAATCTGGTTGGGTTTGGCAGACACCACGCGGTGGCTGAAGGGTGCTGCTGGAGGTGGGGTGCAATCTGTGGAGAAGATGGAGACGAAACATGAAGGTTAAATTGACATACCTGCTGACCAGACACATATGTTGTGTTTTGTAAGCTGCTTCCCAAAATGGGATGCTCAACAAGTTGCTAAACTAGTTTTCAAGACACCCTTAGTCAACCAGCACTACTAACCGACTAAGGGACAGATTTACTAACAGTCTTTTGGCATTAAAATAGTACTGTCAGGATTTACTAAAGACGCACATTGAAGAATTAGCGCTGAAAGGCATGGACACAGTTATTTTTGTGCCTGACCATATTGAAGGAGTTTCCCTTTCAGACGCAACATTTATGGGAGGAGAGTATTAAATTGAATTGAAACATTTGCGCTTGCAAAATTACTGGTATTTGCGCCATTATTTAACGCTCCAAAAAAGCATATGGTTCTCATCGATGATTCTGTCGAAGAGTTCACCTCCATCAACACTGTTCAAAGAGATCAGCACAGAATAATTTTAATTAACTTTCCAATCCTTACTTGTAGTTAAGGATTGGAACTACGTACTTGTAGTTCAAGCTATTCATCATCAGAAGTATTAAGCTACTCAATTTGTATTATTACAATGGTAAAGTCAAAGAAAAAGTAGGTTCAAGTTAGTAGCATCACTACTTTTAGTCACTCTGCAACACCTGTAGGACTATATATGTGGAATAATAAATTATGTAATAATATAAAGATTGCATTAATCACAACATTACAAATTTTGGTTTAAAAAAAGTAAATGACAATTGGGAAAAAAAACAAAACAAAAACAATGCACATACTATTCAAGTACAAGGATAATGTCGCATTGCGCCATTATTTAACGCTCCAAAAAAGCATGTCTTAATGCAGACGCTAATTTGCACTGCTCTTGGTAGATTGTGTTGATTATTATTGAAATGATGCTGAATCTGTGTTCTTTTATTTGCGCATTGTCAGTAAATCACCCGCAGAAATTTCCACTCCCATCAGCGCCTTTTTGGAATTGTGCTCTCACGCTATTTTGCCCTGTTTAGTAAATCTGGCCCTATATGGCTTCTATTTGCTCAATTTTAGATTATTGATGTGGTCGACTGATGATTGAGTAGTTAAAGACTTAGACATAATTGAAGTTTCTCAAATACTTTATTTTGTAGACAAAAAATATACATTATCATTATGTATGAATTTATTTCCAAACCTAAAATTCCCAAAACTAAATCTGGAATGGATAGTAGGAAAAACATCATCAAGTGTATATCATAAATGTGAACTCGTTCATGAAGACGGTTGAGAATGTCCAGAAAGTATATTTTCCAAAATATGGAAAATAGTCATAAAGAAGGAGTAAGAGTCCAAACATTTGACTCGCATCGGTCGATGGTGCTGTTTGAAGTTAGTATTTCTCGTAGATATCTTAGATAATCCTAAACACTATATAACTATCTGTTTATATTGTCAACTTAACATACTGTAGTTAATTGCTGAAGCAATCCGGTAAATAGGAAGTGAAATGGTGGATTATGTCATTACAATATATATATATATATATATATATATATATATATATTCCATAATTTGGTTACATTTTATTTTGATTGTTCACTTTAGACATTCTACCAACTATAAGTAACTTTGCAACTACATGTGAAATCGCAGTTATTAGAGTATTAGTAGACTCTCTGCTTAATATCTGCTAACACTTAATTTTGATGGTCCCTAAAACACATTGTACTGACTATAGGTAACTTTGTAAATACATGTCAACTTATTCTACTAACCCTAACCTAACAGTCTACTAATATTCTAATGAGAGCTAGTTGACATGTAGTTGCAGTTACTTATAGTTAGTAGAATGTCTAAAGTGGACTATGGAAATAAAGTGTAGCCCATAATGTTTATCAATCATACAAAGGAACCACTGGGAATATTACCAATGAAGAAGTGATCCTTGTGATCTTCATCTTCATCCTCATAGCTCTCCTTCTTCAGTTTACTGAAATCCAACTCGATTTCCACACCATCGGCTTTGAAAACACCACAGAGATCTTCAGGTTCCTGTGGCTCCTGCTCACTCTGGTTTTCCCCCTCCTCAACCCTGCTCTTCTTGTGGTCCTCCAAACCCAGATCTTCTTCTGTCACATGTCGTTTGCTGCTGGTAGTCACCTCATCCGTCTGCTCAGACTCAATGCTGAAACAACCGAAACAGAACAGAGGCTGAAGACAGAAAAAACAAAGCTCAAATCTTATTTGCAAGAGCATCAGTGACATTGGGTGATGGGATCTGGCTCACAGTTAGCCTTTCATTGACCTCCAAGGTATTCAATAAAGGTTCAAGTCTAGGCTTTGTGCAGGCCAGTCAAGTTCTTCCACACTGGACTCAGTAAACCATTTCTATATGGACAACGCTTTGAGTCATAGTCATGCCAGAATAGAAAAGGGCTGCCACAAAATTGGAAGCACAGAATTTTCTAGAATGCTGTAAAATTGAGGTTTGTCATTAATGGAATTGGACTAGCCAAACCCATCAATTAAAGGACGGGTTCCACATACATTTGGTCATTTTGTGCATGACATGGAAACCCTATCGAATTCAGGACTCACCTTTGCACTGAGTTCTCAATTGGTGTAGGAGGCTCTGTATCAGGAATGTCAGGTTCTGCAGGACCATCAGTAATTGTCTGGTCCTCCGTACCCTCTTCCTCCTGATCTTTGAGTATGTCTGTGGTCTTTAGGGGCAGCTCCTTAGTCTCTTCTTCCACTAAGTTAGGTGTTTCAGCTTGGACCTCCTCTATCTTCGGCTCTGCGTCTTTCATCTCATCTTCATTGAGCTCCAGAGTGACCTCATTCTCTTCTATCGAGCTCTTCTCTTGCTCAGGTTCAACTGGCTTGTCTTCCTCAAGGATAAGGTCCTGCTGAATTGGAGTAACCAAGCAATCCTCTGAATTCTGCATGCCTTTTTCAAGAGGTTGGTATGCTTCAGTGCGTTCTGCATTCTCTTGATTTAGTTTCTGAACCTCTTCAAGCAACAGTGCCTGCTTCTTCAAAGAGACTGTATCTACTGCATTATAAACACAATGAAGAAAAAGACTAGATGTGAATGTAAAGTATATCAATGCATTGTTTGCATTACGCATACAAATATGGAATAGTTAATGTGATTTAAATGATTTTTGCATCAAGTACAAGTCATTAGGTTTTCAGCCCTGTCATTTTAATAAGCTTTTTGTCTGGACGGTGTTAAATGTAAGTGTCGTGTTTTAATTGCATTTTGTTTACCAGTTGAATCGGGTGGTTTCTTCTTCTTCTGTGCTTTGAGGCCTTTGAGGCTCAGACGAAACTTCCCATCTTTAACTTTGTGATCTCTTAGCTTCAGAGCAAAAAGAAAATATAGCAAATACCAAAGATGAAGAACGTAGTTTAAAGTGCAAAATGGTAATAACTCAAAAACTGTAATATGTGCAGTGAATTTGTGCAATTCTTCCAGGGTCACTAACTGTGACGTCACAATTCTTGTAAAATGCACACCCGCATGGTTCACAAACCTATAAAGTTAGCACAATGAAGCAAGGTGATGATTTGATCCAAGATGCTTGAGCTTGTAAGACTGTTATGGACACAATATGAGTGGGATGGGTTGTTAGGAAGCACAATTAGTCTGGGAATAGTTGTAGGTAAGTGTTAGGGCATAAAAGTGCTGGTCTCCATTTGATTGCCATATGGAATACAAATAAGGCAAATTAATGCATAAATGACATGGCTTCCCTAATGTGGCACCATCAGTTGAAGTATTTCCCTTACATAGTCTGGTGGATGATGTGTGGGGATCTACGATAACACAACATATGTCATTCTGAAGGGCAGACAGCTGGGGGTGTGAAACTATAGCCCAACAAATAATTCCAGCTGACTTCATCTATTTCCTTTTTCCAAGTCAATGTTCTCCTTTCCAATGATTTAAATCATGATGACGCCACAAGGAAGAAACTAAGAAGACCAATTTGGTGACTGGTGTTTTGGCCAAGTGAGTGTCGACCTTTTGAAGACACTCAAATTGGCACCATACCTTCTGTCTCTACTTGAGAAAGTTTCCATGCAATGAATGGAAAAGTTTGAATCATAACATCACTTCTTTCATTCAATAGTCTGAATGAAATGCCAGTACACTGTTTCACCTGGATGTACATACTCTGATGATCAAGCATTGTCTAATCTGGAGATTTAACTCACCTTTATAGTGACATGCTCATTGTTATCTGAGGTCTGGCATTTGCTGCTCAGTTTGATTTTACTATCCTTGGACTTGAGGGCCGAAGTCGCTTTGGTCTTCCGAGAAGCCGGCCCTTTGAACAAAATATCCATGATTTTGGAAGTTTTCACAGTTTCTCCAATAAAGCTGACCACCTGCTGAATGCTCATCACCAGACTTTCCATTCCCTCCAGCTTTTGGGTTTGCTGCTCTGAGCGATTATTTACTGCCAACATGATGCTGTTCATTTCTTGGCACATCTCCTTCATCTCATGGGCCGGTCCTGTGCGGATAACTGGAGGAAAATGGATCTCCTCCTTTTCCACTTTCAGAGTTTCAACGTCTTTCTCGATTCCATCAATGTCCTGAGACATGCCGTCAAGTCGGCTGAGCACTTTTTCTTGGATACTTATGAGCCTGTCCATTTTGCTGCTCAAGGATTCAATCCTAACCTGGAGCAGGTCAATTCCTGTGCTTGAGTTAGCAGAACTCATGCTCTCAACTAAAACCAACTAGACTTGTGGACAAACTACCAGAGATTCACCTGCAGAGGATGTAGCTGGGCATTCAAAAAGGCATTGATAATCCAATAATAAGCCAAGCGGAAAACTCATACAAGACCGAATCCGGACAAACACAAGACATTTTAAATCCCCCAATAACAAGTTGATACGTCCATCTCTTCCTCTCCATTGAACATTCTATGGACCTCTACAAAGTGGAGGTCAGACTAAGAATGGAATGAGCCGGTGTCAGTAAATGTAACTGGTATGGGGTGCTTTACGTCAGCAGGTCCCGGGGAGGGGCTATGTTTGGCTCAGGAATTGCTGTGTGATATGTGAGAAACTTTGAGTGCTAAAGCCATGTCAGATGCCTCCCTACCAGGTGTCAAAGGGGCCCCGGAGACACCCAGTTTCCAGAACGGCCTGCTGAGAAAATGAATGGAAAGAAACTTGAGTACTGACTTCTCTTTCACCTTGAGAGGTTCGATCAGAGACGTCATGTTATTTAAGATTTCACATTAATAGAACTTGCCAGGAATTCCAAGGGTTCGGATTCAGAAGGAATGAAGCCAGGAGTTGGGGAAGCCAAGGGCATATGAAGAGGTCAATTAAAAAATTATGGGGAAAACTGAAGAAAAATACAGAGGTGATGACATGGCGGTGGAACAAAAATATGAGATGAGGAAAAATGCATGTGTTTTCTCGCAAAGTATTGCATTCCCCGATAAACTTTTTTTTCTCTCGCAAAAGTACAGCTTTTCCTTACAAAACATCGCCTTCTCTATTCTCGAAGTATTGCGTTCATCCAAGAAATGTTGCATTCTCTCACAAAACATTTGCGTTCTCTTGCCCAACAATTGTGTGTTCCCGAATTTTTTTTTTTTTTAATTTCCGCAAAACATTTACGATCTCTCAATGTTTTTCACAATTCTCTCGCAAAAGTATTGCATTCCCCCAATAAATGTTGCGTTCTCTCACAAAGCATTTGTGTTCTCTTACACAAGTATTTTGTTCTCCCGAGAAACATTGCATTTTTTCACAAAACATTTATGGTCTCTCAATATTTTTTCGCAATTGTCTCGCAAAAGTATTGCATTCTCTTGCAAAACATCTGCACTCTCTCGCAAAAGTATTGCGTTCTCCCAAGAAACGTTGCGTTGTCTCATAAAACATTCTCTCACAAAGCATTTACGTTTTCTTGCTAAAGTATTGTGTTCTCCTGAAAAAAGTTGCATTCTCTTGCAAAACATTTGCACACTCTTGCAAAAATATTGCATTCCCCCAAGAAATGTTGCATTCTCACACAAAACATTTATGTTCTCACCCAAAGCATTTGCATTCTCTTGCACAAGTATTCCATTCCCCGAGAAACTTTGCTTTTGCTCACAAAAGCATTGAAATGATGAATGAAAAATGAAATTTGAATAAAAATTCCCTCTCACCACATATTATTTCCATCACAAAAGTTTTCTTCCCATCTCTTTTTTAAAATGTATTTATTTTTTATTATTTTTTTTTACCATCACCATGTCCTTTTTAGGGGCTCCAAACAAAACAACCTAATCTGAGGCTGTTTTTATTAATAAATAAGATTATGTTTCTTCTGATGTACAAACAGCCTGGCAGATGATGGCACACTACTACTGGAAAAGAGGAGCCTGTGGACCCTCTCTCAACTGAAGCTAGAGTGAGTGTCAGTGTTATGACTGATTCACACTCTCCAGTCCTCTAAAAAAGCTCACTCATCCACAGATAAGACAGTTACGGATCAATTTTAACTTAGAGGATGAAATATGAAGCCCCCCTTCACCCTCCACACCTCTGCTCTATAATACAGGTCACTCGACCTAGTTCGTATCACCATAAATTATTTTTTAGTTCACAGTCATAATGTTGTTCTTGAAAGATATCGAATATCCTCTTAAATTACATATTTCTCAGGTTTAATCCTCATGCTGCAAACCCAGATATCTTCTCCCAGAATAGCACTCAGAGGCGCTACTCCAACACTACAGTCATCATCTCATAATCACAGGCTTCATTTGACTTAGAATAGATGGCGCCAAGGGATATATAACCTACAGAATGAGGCATACACAAATATGTTGAAATTAACAGATTTTTACACCGTATTTACTTGCAATTCAGTAAATATCTGCAAAAAAAACAAAAAAGTGCATTGGCCATTGACAAGTCTGTTGGCAAGTCTCAATTTGGATTTACTCGTTTACAGTAATTTCCTTCCAAATATGAATAATTTTCATGAAAATAATCTCAGAAAATGCATATACTAATAATAGGCTTCATTTTCTTTCAGTTGCAAGCACACAACAAAAGTAAAAAAAAAAATATACACATTTTTTTATTTTAATTAATATAATTTTATTAATTCAAATGATAAAAGATACATCATATATACATGATTTGAATGATATTATTGATGTAAGAGTATGCAGTGTGTGTCCTCTACATACACCTCTGTTCCAGTCTGAGTTTGACTGACAGCAAAGTATTTGATATGTCAGCCCATCAGCATATCCAAGAAAAACACACCCGCTCTCTTAGCCAGAGTATAAATTTGGACAGTCAGAGTCAGAGTAACACAAAACGCCAGAGGAGGCCCATACCATTTCAAGACAACAAAACCGTGTGGCTGTGGAGTAAACAGGAGCTAGCAGAAGAGCTCTCTTGAGTTTATATTACTAGCAGTTTACAATGAAACTTGATAGACGGGAGGTAATACAGCCATGCTGAGAATTAGGCCAAGTTTTACTGCGCCGTGCTGCGGTGAGCAAGTGACGAACACATGGATGCACAGCTGCCCAAGCTGACATACACCACATTCAGACCATTCATGAGCTGATAGGAAAGCTAAATAACACATGTTGTGCCATAATGAATATGCAACTAGATATTGAGGCATAATGTGTCATCGCTTGGACAAGGTGGGACAAATGTTTTGAGGCCTGAACTAGTTTAACGCACAGACTGAAGTTCCCAATCAGGTCCAAGCACAAATTGTTCTTTTAGCAAGATGAAAAGTTGACTAAATAGATACACACAAGAGAGCAATCGCTACAGGACGATGGAAGCACAGGAAGACCCTTTATTGGGGGGGGGGAACACAACAATCCAGTGGAAACTTGGGATCAAGTATCTGTTTCTGTTCCTGACGGCATCTATCATGAAAAATCAATGATACATGCCTTTTTACTCATCATCAGGCCATCCAAGATGTAGATGATTTGGAGAAATGTAGCATTGCATCAGTGTCTCAGCAATGGATGCTCTGCAGTGAATGGGTGCCGTCAGAATGAGAGTCCAAACAGCTGATAAAAACATCACAATAATCCACACACACACTGTAGAACAAAAAGTACACAATAAAACACCATTTACAGTATATTGTCAATAAAAGCGTCCAATGTATTCCAAGACAGGTGTATCTTTTTATGTCACAACAATGTGCTTGTTCCATCAGAGTGAGTAAATGTACTGTATGTACACTGACAGAGAGACGAGCAGCTTGTATGCTGTTTATAAGATTTGATTTATGAATTACAGATAGTTCCAAAGATGCACGAAGATGGACGAATAAACACAGAGTGTGAGTGAGTGCAGCCTGACACCGGGACACCCATTCGGCAGGGGACCCTTGGTCACCCCCTCCGTCCAGCCAGAACAGTTTGTCCCAGGACATTTGGGGGTGGTTTGCGACCCCCTGGCCTGCAGTTCCAGTATCAGTTTGCCTGCGCACCAGCCAACTTTCCAGTGACGAACCGAGACACGACACGTGCCGAGGCTGTGTAAAACAAGAGCCGCTAGCAGTGCTAGTGCAATGCTCTGACGCTCATGCGGATACAGTACACATACAACCTCTGTATGCTTTCTGTAGTGGAAGAATAAATATCTGAAGAAAAATAAGAATTACTTTTGCATGCCGTCACATCCTTTGAAAAGCATTGGAGTTAAATAGCTAATGTCAACTTTTACAGCTTTGGCACGTTTGTACTGTCCTGATTTGGAGTGGACTCTTTACAGCAGAAAACAAATCTAACATTTGGATGAAAAAGCCCAAGATTTGATGAATAGCTAAAGTAAGGATCACAAACGGCTTGTAACTGCATTGCACTACAAACAGTATGTAATGATTATGAGTAGTATATATTATCAGTCTGTTCATTTATTGCTGCAACTTTCCAGTTCATATTGGTTTTATTTTTCATTTCTAAAACTTTATCTCAACAAAATCTGAATGGATGCAACTACAAATGAACCAACAGAATTTGATGCATTATTGCACAGCAACCTACGGAGAAATACAGACCTAAAAGAAGATGTAGTCAGTGACTGGTTGATTCTGTGAGAGCTAATCATAGCAGCCGAGTAACTGGCAATAAAACGGTTTCCTGGTGGACTAATAAAAACCTGTGCACTTTGACTCCCGGAAACTGCATATTGCTAACTATTGCCATTTTTATATGTTGTTTTATATTCCAAGAATTACCAAGTTCACAATAAAGCCCTGAAAAATGCTATACAAAAGCATGAGATCTACAGAAAGGTCTACATCTTTGTTGTGTTCCTGTAAGTCGCTTTGAATAAAAGTATCTTCTAACTGGTTTCTGCAGGTCCACAAATTAAGGCCTAAAAAGGTCTTAAATCTGAGCAGAAAGACCGATTACCCCCACATAATTGTATTCTGAAGCACTGCATCACTTCTCTCACATGAGCAGATTAGTGCTACTGGATCTTAGCGCTGCGTTTGACACTATCGACCACATTCTTTTGAGTACACTACAAAATTATGTTGGCATTAGTGGAATTGCACTGTCATGGTCTTACTTATCTGACCATCATCAATTCGTAGCAGTAAATGACGAGATATCATATCGATCACAAGTACAGTATGGAGTACCACAAGGCTCAGTACTAGGACCGTTGCTTTTCACACTTTACATGTTACCCTTGGGAGATATCATCAAGAAACTTGGTGTTAGCTTTCACTGTTCTTCGTGGCCCGATGAAACCTACAAATTTGCAAAACTAACGGAATGCATAGTTGATATAAAAAAAAAAAACTGGAATGACTAGTAATTTCCTACTGCTAAATTCTGAAAAAAAACAGAGGTTTTAATTATTGTACCAAAAACCTCTGTGTGTAATAACCTAAAACACTGTTTAACACTTGATGGCTGCTCTGTTAATTCCTCGTCAACAGTTAGGAACCTAGGTGTGCTATTCGATAGCAA